TGAGTTTTTTTTTTTTTTTTTTTTATAACACAAGCTTATTCACCCTTCTAGGACACCTAGAAGGTCAAAGGACTGCTTATTCCTCCCTCCCCATATCCTTTGATAAAGGCTTCACATTCTCAGTTAATGCTTGGGCTCCAGGCAGCTGTGCTGTCTAAAAACAAGAGAGTATATTTATATAGAGACACCCACACCTAAAGCCCTGCAGAAGGGGATCTGTATTCCCTGCCTTACCAAGGGTGGAGAAATGGTAAGGCCACCTTTTAGCTCGTAAATTAGCATATTGACAAAGTCTGTCAAGTCTCCTGTCCAGGGCAAAATGGGTGTTGAGGAGGAAGGTCACCCCCTTGCCCATCAGAGGCAGAGAGATGGTCCCTCCATGGTGGATACCTGTAGCCTACCCTCTCTAGCATGATAATTACTGTGAAAATAGATCAAGCTTTTAGTCAAGAGCAAACACAGGGGTTCTCTTTCTTTCTTTTTTTGAGTCGGAGTCTTACTCTGTCACCCAGGCTGCAGCAGCATAATCGTGGGTACCACAGCCTCAACCTGCTAGGCTCAGGTGACCCTTCCACCTCAGTTTTCCAAGTAGCTGTAACTACAAGTGTGTGTCACCATGCCCGGCTAATTTTTTTGATTTATTGTAGAGACAGGTCTCACCAAGTTGCCCAGGCTGATCTTGAATCCCTGGTCTCAGGCAATCCTTTCACCTCCACCTCCCAAAATTCTGGGATTACAGGCATGAGTCACTGTGCCCAGATAGGGGTTCTCTTTCAAGAGACTTAACCATGCCAGCTCTTTGGCATGACCCTTGCTCTCTCTTTCTCTTGCTAATAAATTTTGTTTTAAAACTTTGCTGACTACTCTCAATTCTTTTTAGTAGTGAGGAAAAGAACTTATGAGCGTTGCATTGTACCCATCTGGCAATAGTGTGAATATCTGTAAAATAGTATTTGGCTTTCAGCAAGACTGTGATCACACACAGCACGTCTACACCACAACACATTAGTCCACAACCACCCACTCACAGTTACTGAACTCTCAGCATGTGCTGTACTGTTTTACAGTCATTATTTCATTCAATCCTTTTACAGTGACAGGAAGAAAGTACTATTACGATGTTCATTTTGTAGGTGACAAGTGACACACAACAAAGTCACGTGGTTTGTAGATACCAGGTCAGGATTTGAACCCAGTTCTGAGCATCTACCTCCAGAGCTGGGCACAGAGCCAGCGTGCTCAATTTCTCTCTAGACCAAGCTGTGAAGATGTTGTCTTCGACATCCTGTTCACTTTATGCCCACCGTTGTCTCATTTTAAAAAAGGAAATGAGAATGAAAGGTTCCATTAGCCAAGAGAGAATCCTCAGGTAAATAACTTACAGAATAAGAGGTAAGGCTTTTAAGAAAGCCATGTTAGGAAATTTATTAAGGTAAACTGCCTAAAAAAATCTTTAATCTTCAACTTGTTCATTGTTTTATTTTGTTAATGATCTTTCTTTGTTCATTTTTAACCAGCAGCAAATATTATTTTTGTAATTATAGTTCTCTCAAGGGCACTGGTTTAATAAAATATATTATGGCTCAGATGTAGTCTTCACTCAACAACACTTTCTGTTCTTTGTTGAATTTAGATGTTAAGAATTCTCGAAATACTGAATAATAAAAAGCTATATGAGCACGAATGGGAAGTCTTTCTTTATTACAAGAAACATAAATTCTTTAAAAAGTCTATATTCTTATGCCATTTAGGACAGTCTACTCTATGCCTATAAAAGAGGCAAAACACAACATTAAAAAGCAGTAACTATTAAAAACTATAATTAGACCATCAATTTATCAAGTGCCTGTTGTCTGCTCAGAATGGTGCCAGAAATACTGTTGATGCTGCCATCAAAACATACAATTAAAAAAAGAGAGATAAAATATATGTTAACATTTTACCATGTGAAAACAGTAAAAGTTCTCTTACCTTCCTAAGTTTAAAATGTCCCCAGTTATCTTTCTGACTTCCTTGAAAACGTCCTGGGGTTGAACCAACAAGGTAAACGCTGAAAGGACATGAAATGCAAATTACAGAACACAGTGTGCTTTGGGCATCTAAGTAAGAAATCACAAGCTACTAATTTCACATGAAAACTAACACCATCACGAGACGTTCTGGGAGCCAACCCACTTTCTTATGATGTCTCCTGAACAGTAGTAACTGATACGTACTCGTTTTTAAGCAAACCAACTAATGATGGAACTCCTGCAAGGTTAAGGGTACCCGAAAGAGAACTCATTACTGTTTTTTTTTTTGAGTTAGGGTCTTGCTCTGGCACCCAGGCTGGAGTGCAATGGCATGATCACAGCTCACCACAGCTTCAACCTCCTGGACTCAGGTGGTCCTCCCACCTCAGCCTCCAGAGTAGCTGGGAGTACAGGTACCACCACGCTTAGCTGATTTATTGACTTTTTTTTTTGAAGCAACAAGGCCTCTCTGTGTTGCCTGGGCTGCTCTCAAGCTCCTGGACTCAAGTAATTTTTCCGCCTTAGCCTCCCAAAGTGCTGGGATTACAGGCGTTAGCCACCGCGCCTGGTTAGCACTCATTACTTTTAAGAGTGTGTAGTGGGAGGCTTGAGAAAGGAAGGCTTGCTGGCTGCCACTTTTGTGACTAAGAACCACAAGATGCAGCCCTAATGGGCCTGCTCATCCCCTCATTCATCATGAGGTTCAGTCTCGTGGGTTTCATGTGGTATCATGGTGGTACATGCCGCCTGTTTTCAAGGTCCCACCCTCCAGACCTCACGTGGCTCTCACAGTATGAGTCTATTATAAGCACCCCAGACTGACGAGAGGATACACACTTTGTTTCCGAGAGATCATGCTCATGGATGGCTTCGATCCACTCCTGGAGTGCAGGCACATTGTAAGCCAGCAGGTAGCTGATGAGATCAGCTTTAAAATGTGTTGCTGACTCTCCAGCTCCATGGGTTTCATGGATGATTCGTGGGTATAAGGGGCTCAACCACATTCTGGAATGGAAAAGAGTAACCTTTAATGGGCAGCCACACAATTACCCCTAGTGATCTATATTGGTTACACGTTCGCCCTAAGAAGGGGTGACTTCTCACTGTGTATCTACACACGTGGGCAGAGGGGCACTCAAGAAATGTGATACACAATCTGATCATGCACCTCCAGGGACTTCCCATCAACCAGAATCGCTTTTGAATGCTCACGCTTGTGAATGCTCACTGTTTCCCTAAGAACAAGCAACATTGAGCTCACTTCTCTTTTTGATGGGACATGAGTCCCCAAACCCAATCGGGCATTCAAGAAACCTGGCTGAGTAGCTGTCAGGAGCAAAGGCTTATGTAACTGACCATAACCTTGGTGGATCAGGAGTCCTGTGGCTGAGACTTGGGGACAGAGCAGCCGTGTCCTCAGGGCAGGGCCAGTCAGAGCTCTGCTTCATTCTTAGAAGCATATTTTAATGGGGCACTGGACAACTAGAACTTATTTATGGGAAAACTATTAGGGACTGGGGGTGGGACCCAAAGACACATGCTCTGCTAGGGAGGGGAGGGGAGGGGGAAAAGACTGTCTTTCAGAATCCAAAGGGTTGCCCCAAGGAGGAGGGGCCATGTGTTATTAATAAACAAAAGTCCAGAAGAGCTTTCATAGTCAGCCTTTGCCTAGAGACTCACAACCATATTGATACACTAAAGGCTCCAGAAAGACACCAGTTGAAATGTGTTTTATGGGAAAACAAACCAACTGGAGTAGGGGGATCCTCAGCACAGTAATGTGACTGGCCCGCCCCAACTGCCCTCTGAAGTCCCATTTGGGGAGGAGCAAGCAGAAGCCAGGAGAGCCCCTGCTAAGCCTTTGGGGGTGATGGCCTGACTCTCCTTTGCAGCCCTGGTCCCACCTCAGGACCCCTGCACATGCTGCTCTCATTTCTATAAAAACCAGGAGAGATGGCTGTGTAGATGCTCCCAGACATTCACACGTACCCTGGAGACAGCCGTGGTGACTATGCGTCTGTCAACGTGGGTCACCCTAAGAGGGCAGGATGGGCAGGCTGTGAGAGAAGACTGAGACCTTCCTGCACGCATCTATTTTCTATGCCATATGTGTTATTTTTGCAATAAAAAAATAGAAAAAGAATAAAGTTAAAGTGACGCTGGGCCCTTGGCCTCTGTCAGCACACGCCCTGCACAATGCACACGGCCCCTACGTACCCCTGGGTCTTCTGATGCCAATCCTCACGGATGAGGTTGGAGGTGTGCACGATCACCCGCAGGCCTTCCTCATAGAGCAGCAGCATCATCTTCCTTAGAAACAGGGATGGAGCAAAGCGTGTTAACAACCCTTTCAAAACACGCAAGGCTTCCCAATGCAAAGGCGACAAACAGCGAATTCTCTCAACTCTTCTCTTACCCAAACTTTTAGCACTCACAGGCTCTCCTACTACACATGACCACGGTGAAAGTTTGCTAACGTGTTGTGTGTGTGGTGGCCAGTGGCTTTCCTTCACTCTGTCTACCTGGTCAGTCCTGGAGCTCCCAGTCCTTCCATCAGTCCCTCACCCGCTCAGCATCACCTGCTTCTAACACGAACCACAGGAACTTGCTTGACAGGTATTTTCCAGAGTACAGTCAACAACCTCTTGTTGCATCATGGCCAGTATCATTTATTATTTATTTTATTTATTTGTTTGTTTGCTTTTTTTTTTTAGTAGGAGTCTTATTCTGTCACCCAGGCTGGAGTGCAGTGGTATGCTCACAGCCACCGCAGCCTTGACCTGCTGGGCTCAGGTGACCCTTCAGCCTCAGCTTTCCAAGTAGCTGGAACCATAGGCATGTGCTACCAAGCTTGGCTAATTTTTCTTGAGTTATTGTAGAGATGAGGTCTCACCATGTTGCCCAAGCTGGTCTTGAATCCCTGGGTTCAGGTAATTCTCTCTCCTCAGCCTCCCAAAGTGTGGGATTACAGGCGTAAGCCACTGCACCCAGATTATCAGTATCATTTAAATGACTAAAAGACAAAGTCAGAGTATGTATATTTGATTACTACATTAAATATTAAATACATTAAATATTAAAATTAAATAATGTTTAATTCATGACACTTTTGTTTCGACACATGGGGGTATGCACATGTGCAGTAGACTGAAATGTAAAGTGAATTTCTTACTGTGGGCTGCAATTTTAAGAAGTTTGAAAGACACTTCATTGTCATAGGCCACAGATGCCATACTCGCCACCAGCATGCATCTGGACTTGAGCTACGCCCCCCTGACCCTCATTGCTAATCCAAATCAGACTTTTTCCATGGGGCCTCCCCAGGCCTCCAGGCAAATACACTTCTCTAATCCAACTCCAGGGAGAGGGGATAGGACACAGATGAGAGCTTCCACCTGAAGGCTGAGGATCCAAGCTCCGGGTGCCTCCAGGCAAGCCAACATCCCCGGGCCTCAGTTTGTCACTTGTAACTTGAAGGATCAACCCCCACCTCGAGGTTGACAGGAGTAAGGCAACTGTGCTGTCTTTTTCTCATAAGAATGATGAACGTCCCTCTGTGAGTGAACCGCAAAACCCTCCCATCTGCGTTCCCAAGATTTCTCAGTGCCTAGCTTCAGTTGTCATCTAGTAATGGACGTGTCTTCTCTTCTTGCTGTTTTCTAATTACTGCAGGATCTAAGTTCTCTCTCCCCACCTGAAGCATCACTCCTCAAGGTTGCAACTGTCTTATTTTATCATTTCCACTGAGGCCAAAATGTTACTTAATATTTACTGTGTGACTCCGCTCACACATGGGAAAATAAACAACAACATGGATGCTATTTGGCCAGAATGAGGTGGGCAGAAAAAGATAAGAAAAAGGATACAAGAACAGAGAAGACAACGAGATATTTAGCTCTTGCCAAAATGAGAAAATAACCCACACTGGTGACTCCACCAAGCAGGAGAAAAAGACGACAGCCACTGTGCCGTAGCCCATCTGGGAAAAGGGCACCACGAATCTGGTTAGATTTACATAGCTTCCAAGCCACCAGCTGCCTGCAATTAGGAATAAGCCAGTTATGGATCCTCAGCAGGCGTTTTACAAATATTTCCATTAGCCAAGACATCAATTACCAGGAAAACACGTACTGATGTCAACGCATCTATGAACAGAATTACAGATTAATTTAAGGGAAACCATGTTACTCTTTCGTGGACAGATGGCGGTGTTCATGAGGCCGTGGTTAAATGCAGATGGAAGAGGGCGAGGGGCGAAGGGTGAGGGGCGAGGCCGCCCTTTAAAAAAACTGACCTGCCACGTTGTCTACATGTTCCAGATATGAAGCTGTCCTTCCAAGGGGAAAGAAAACTGATGTCTGCCAGAGCCCCCGCAGCTCTGTCAAGTCCTCAGCGACCTGGGGGAGCTATTCTTGTTTTCCAACTGCGGCCAAGATAGTGGGGATTACCCAGGTCACCACACAGGCCAGCTGGGATCCCGCATGCCAGATGCCAGGGTGCTCCTGTCCCCGCATAGCCCCTGTTGGCCCATGCCAGGGGTGGATGCCTCAGGCTCCTGGGCCAAGCACAGTCTTCTTGGGGAGACGACTGAACCACGCATGTGGGGCCCAACCACACACCGTGGTGGACAGAAGCCAGCCTCGCCATCTTGTGGCTGGCCCCAGCTGCATCTCAATATCTGACGATCAGTGGCACTGGCCCCTTCTCCTCTCTCTCTCCCATCAATGCTAACAGCTACCAGGTGGCCAACTAGAGTGCGTCACCTTCCAAAATGCCAGGAGACAGACCCGGATCAAGGGCAACCTCCAGAGACCAGACACAGCGGGATCTCTGCACCCAACAAGCTAATCTTCTAGAAGCCACTCCCACGCACTGCCAATCAGCTGTGGGCAGGTGGGAAACCTGGGACTGGCAGTGAACAACCCCACCTCGAGCTCTCCAGAGACATGGGCTGCGTAAGAACACTGAAGTAAGGAAACCACATCCTATTCTGTTTCTCATTTATAAAACCAGTGACGTGAAAGGACTAGGTAAGACAGCTATAAAACCACCAGTGGTGACAAGCAGGAGAGCAGGTCACAGAAAGGTTGCCCCCTACTTGTGTTTATGTCTCAGATAATTATTCTTGAAGAGTTGCCTTGAGCAGGATGGGCAGTGGCCTTGCAAGCTGACAACTTCTGGTAAAACAGTCTTTCTTTCTATCACAGTATAGACAGATCTAACAATATTCTATCCAGTACAATTCAGATTCTTACAAAAGTCACAGAATGCTTAAAAGCAGTGGAATCACAGGTACATGACACCACACAATCACTGACACCCACAGGACCACATGGCCATAATCTCCCCATGCCAGGTACACTGAGGTCCTGAACAGAAGGTGGAAACACTGGAGTCAGATCACACTTCCATGCCAACAGCCAGAACCTCTGTATTCTGTCTTAAAGATATTAAAAAATAACTCCACTTAACCCACTATTGACAGTTTTTTTTCTCCGCCAACAAAACTATCACATGAGTCCCTCTAAGGGTACTTTCTGCAAGTGTCCTTTGATCTCTTAAAATCATATCTTCCCGTATTTCATAAAAATTGCTTACGTGTGATGTGTTCCAAATGCAATATCCAACTTTGCCTAAAATGAAAAAGAAGTCAAGTTATTCATTTTTAAAAAACCTCAATACCATCCCTATCTACTGGAAATTGAATTAGAAAGGGATCAGGCCAGCTTTTTAAGATAACTGTTTTACTGCCCTCTACTGGATAAGCCCTGAATAACAAGACAGCTTTTATAACAGTATCCAAGGGATGCTCATTAAAAAACAAAACAAAAACATAAATTTTGTTACCCAGATGGATTTAATATACACTACATTTTTTATTTACAATAATTAGGAGTGAGAAGTCTAATTTCTTTATCTGTCAAAAAAACAAAACAAATGAGATTCAATGTAAGTTTTTAAAACTAGATATTTGGCTTATATAGAAATTAATATACACAAAGCTTTCAGAGCATATTTAAGAGAACACTGAAAGTGGTGGCAACATAGAGACATATTATAATGTTAAAACAGAAATGTTCTAACAGTAAAAACATAGCAAGTACTGAAAATAAAAAGATAAGTTATTAAATCTACTTTCATGTTACAAAATGACAACTTTACAAACACTTATCTAACACTGAGGACAGCAAGACTCTGGTTAAGCAGAATATGCTCCAAGATGCAGGTTACAATAGAGTTTAACAGCCACTGAAACAGCTTAGCAATGAGGAATGCAGCACCTCGGCTCAAATCCGAACATCTGTGTAACTCTGGAAAATACTGGCGTATCTCTGCCTGTTTCTCTTTAAAACAGGTCACTGTTATGAGATCCAGAGGTTGTCAGGAGTGAGATGATGCATGTAAGATGCTCAGGAAGGGGCCTGCATGCAGTAAGCGCTAGGAGAGGGATCACCACTGCAAATTCTCCCCCGCCCACCCACCCCCTGCCACAAGACAGATGGGCTTGGAGAACTCGGCAGGGGAGGGAGGGGTGGGGAGTAGGGAGGGTGGCAGCTTTGCCTGCCAGGGGCAACTGTCTGCCAGCGGTGGGTACTGTCTATAGGGGGCTGTTGTAGGCAGCTGAACACAGGTGAGTACGATTCAGCCCATCTCAGGGATTGGATGCTTGCTGACAGGCAGTCCAGGACCACACTCTCAGACCTGCACATATCTGAGTGCTCCAGCCACGGAAGAAAGCACGGGGAAGTCTATTTCACCTCTCCTAAATTATACAATTAGAAGGGAGACTTCCACTTTGTAAATATTTGGCCTGGAAAGAGCAATGGTCCGCCCTGGCTTCTGTCTGGTTCGCTACAACTCATATACTTTTAGATGAGCCTAAGCACAAAAAATGAAGATGATGATACTGTTGACAGGTACTGCTTAGCGGGTGTTTCTTTTGGATAATGGACCAGGCCCTTCAGTTAAACCCTGTGATGAACAGCATTATCAATCCATTCTAAAGGTGAAGAAACCACGCTCAAGTGACAAGCCCAGAATAGCAGTGCTATAGACTGGACATCGATGTCCCCCAGATTCAAACTAAAGTCCCAACCCCAGTGTGACAGTATTTGGAGAGAGTGGCATTATGGAGGTAACTGAGGTTGAATGAGGTCATAAGGATGGGCCCCGATCCAACAGGATGTGCCCTTGTATGAAGAGCCACCATCGGAGAGCCTGTCTGTGCTTCCTCCTCCTCCCTCTGCCATCTGAGGACACCGTGAGAAGGCGGCCACCAACAAGCCATGATGTGAACTAACTGGCACCCTGACCTTGGGTTTCCCAGATTTCAGAACTGCAAGAGATAAATGTCTGTTGCTTAAGCCACTCAGTCCAAGAAGAGTCTCCTGGGTATTTTGTTACAGCAGCTTGAGCTGATGAGTGTACACCTGTGAGTACTGGGACACGCCCAGGCAGGGTGATCCTCGACCCCCACAAGGCCTCAGTCTCTGGCAAAATCGGAGAGTGTCACATCCACTGATTCTTGGATTGATTTGCCTCAGCTTATGTGATACAGTGTTGCTGGAAAAAGTCAGGAGTTGTCCTACAGACACACGTACAGGCATTTCCATAGATCAGGACGGGTGGCCACCCTTGGACTGGAGTCAGATGGCTCTTGCACGAGGTCTGGTGGCAGCATCTCGCAGCACCCTCTGGTGGCCAGCCTGGGCCACACCATCAGACACAGAAGCGTCACTCCTAATCTTGCCACCAGTGCAGGAAGTATTTGAAAGTTGCTTTTCATGTATTTAAATATGTATTTCCATGTATTTAATCACTAGTTTTGGGATCCCTGTCTCCATCTGTTTTCTGCCACTACTAGTTTGATGGGAGCATTCTCCTGCAGTTAAACCTCTTACGTTGCTGGAAACAGAAGCAAAGCAACAGAATTTCAGCAACTGCTAAGAAAGGCATCTAGAGGAGCCAGGAACACGGGGATGGAGGAAGGCATTTTTAAGACCACAGCGATAGAAACAGCAGTGGGCTAAATCATGGGAAAACGGGAGGTGTGTTTAAAATGGATCCAACTGAACTCTCGCACTGTTAGTAAAAAACAGAGATGCTGTGAACAATTGGGAAGTGTGTCCTGAAAATGTGAGTGGGAGTCCTCCCATCTTTGTGGATGGGGAGAAAAGACACTAGAAGAGAAATGCCACTGAAGAGGAGTCCAGGTGCCATGTCATTCACTCTTGTTTCCTAGAGCAGGGACGCTTAGCCGATTTCACCAAGCTGATGAGAAGGAAGAGAGGCCACGGAATGATTTCACCATGCTTCTGTGTGACTGGCAGGCCTAATGGGCAGGAAAAGGCCAGTGTCATGGAGGCTACATCCCAAACAGCATTGCCACAGGACAGGCACCATCAGCATCAGAAATGCCTCAAATCCTTCAGTTCTTCCATCTACTTTGCCTGTTTCTTGCTCAAAATGTCACATGCAATAAGAGATCCTTTTGACAAAGACTCTAAAGCTACAGGTCTTAACAGAAGTCCAAGACTCACTGGCCCCATGGATTCTCACTACAAAGTACTAGGACAAAATTATGGGACCATAGAAAGAAACTGGGCAATAGTCTGGTTGGTTTTTTTTTTTTTGGCCTTCTCTTTCAGTCACAACAAACCACTCAAAGCACTGCATTGGGCAGCAGCCAGGTGCACCCTGGACTTCAAAGCCAGCTTCCCGACAGCTTTTAATCCATGAGTCTCCAGTTTAGACTTGAGATGCAACTGATGTGAATAAAGAACTGGGAGCCATGGTACGTGTGTCAGTGGTAGCTTATATAAATAGCACAGGTGTCACCAATAGCAAACAGTTTTCAGCTGCACTTATGGTTCACTCATAGCCACCGGACTGCACCCAGAGGATCTGCTCAGTGCTGAAACCCAGACCCCAAGAGGTGCTGAATGTGACAGGCACATGAGCTGGGGAGCAATACAGAATCTACCTACCTGTCTACATTGGCTACAACTTAAGAAAGTGAACCTTGAATCTGAAAGAGAATTGATGGCTGTAGGGGAAAGGCTGCTTCTGTGGCTCTGGTGGGGGTGGGGCAGGGGAGCAGTTAAGAACTGTGAGCAGACGTTTGGAGGAAGGGAGACTCTAGCCAACAAAGGAGAACCTTTCCGACCACAAGGATGGCCACCCCAGGAAGCATGAAGCCGAGGCTGGATGAGCATCGGAGATGCTGGAGAGTGGGCCCTAATCTGGCTGAAGGAGGGACTCGAAGTCTCCTTCTAGCTTGCAGCCTCGTTGCGGTCCAGTGCCTGCACTGCTTACCTGGCAGAAGGACACATTCTCGTAGGGCTTGGCCTGGGCGTGCAGATGCGCCTTGGCCTCTCGCTTGTCGCCATGCACGAGCAGGAGGGGCTTCTTCCTAGAGGGATCAGAAGGATTTCACACACATCATCCGGGGAGTTAGGCTCTGGCCTTGCAAGGAAGGCGACTTCCTGACCACCAGCCACCTGGTTCTGGCCTCTGCGGGGCTTGAGACAGGGACTAACACAGCACTGATCAGGAAGCAGTCACTCACCAGCCCCCTTAGCAACAGGGTCACACACATAACCCTGACCCTCTGCTGCAGCACGAAGGGGTGAAGACTCAAAGAAAAGTCCTTGAATAATGATCTTCTGTGGCAAAAAAGGGCACAGGTGGCCCTGTGTTATGTTCAAGTTCAAGTGGACTAAAGATACATGATGATCGTTGCACAGTGGCATGCTTTTCTCTTTCCCTTCTTTTGGACTGAGCAGTGGGTTCATTTCATACTGCCCCCATATTCACCAAACTCCTACTGCATGTTGTATACCGAGCCAGATCCAGGGTGCAGGAGTGAACAGGCCCAGATCCACCACATGATGCAGATTCACTATGACGGGGTCAGACTTCAATGACACTGAGCCAAGGCACACTGGAAATGCTATTTTCAAATTCCAAAGACAAAACAGAAACACTCTTCAGGAACCAATTAATGGACTTTTAAGGGATCCTTGAGCTTGTCCAGCTAATTCAAAGCAAGATGATCCTTAGAAATCAATATATTTGTACAAGTTCTCCCAACACAACGAAAATTGGACATGAGCAGGAAACACAACCAAGCTACATTCATGCCTGTCCATCACACCACAGAATGAGACTCCACCAGACATGAAGGGACAGTCATCAATTAGAGAGAAATGTCACAGAAGCTCACATCAGGACTAAGGCCTAACAAATTCATGCCCTGCAGTTTCACTCAGATACCACAGGCAGAATGAAACATGAAGTGTGTATTCCAGGTAGGAAAGCCATTTTAGCGAGAAAAAGTCAGAAACACTCCTGCATCGGTCACCTAGAAACACAAACATGTTGCCAGGTCATCAGGTCATCCTAAAAAGGAAAGATTAAACATGGCAGAAGTAGAGTCCTTGCCGACTCCTTCCTGCCGCCTAGCTCCATGGACCACTACAGCTGACAGAGCCTGGTAGCCTGTGGTGGGCACAAGCCCTTCCACCCTGAGCTTTACCACATGCAAGTCCTGGGTGACACCTCAGCTGGCCACTCAGGGCCCTGCTCACCCTCACAGGCTCCCCAGGATGTGTTCAGCCATCAGGTGGAGGTGGGGAGGCTCTTGGTCCTTGACTTTGTTACCGAGTGTCTATATTCACTTGCTAGGGTCTTTGTAACAAAACTCCTGCATGGGGTGGCTTAAACAACAGAAACATGTCGCCTCACGGTTCTGGCGGCCGAAAGTCAAAGCTAGGAGGCGGTGGGCCAATTCCTTCTAGGGCCAAGTTGGGTCTGTCTGGCCTCTCTTCTGGCTCTGGCAGCCTCAGGTGTACTCGGCTCCTCAGTGGTGTTCCATATCTTCACAGCATCTCCTATCACCTGTGTCCACATACCCGTTGCTCTAAGGGCACTAGCCACACCGGATCAGCCACCCTGATGACCTCCTTGCAGCTCCCCAGGTAGGATCATTCCGAGGTGCCGAGGCTCAGAACTCTAACACGTCTTTCCTAGGGGAGAAAATTCAACCCTAACGGATACACAGGGACTGTGGTCCACACTCTGCTGATGCTCTAAGGGTGGCAACGTGAGCTCAAGGTCTTGGAGAAGCAGAGAAGAAGAACAGAAGTCACCAGGGCAGCACCGGGGCACTCACCACTGGGAGGAGTCAGGTCACGTCTACATCCTCCAGGGGGCCATGCACCCATCTTTCCTAAGGAAACCCTGACATGATTAGGAGAGAGAGTGCTTGGCTGAGACACCTCCAGCCTCCTTTAGGTCTGCATCGCCTTTATTTTTTTGAGTCAGGGTCTCAGTCTGTTGCTCAGGCTAAAGTGCTGGGCATGATCATGGGTCACTGCATGATCCTGGGCTCAGGTGATCCTCCCATCTCAGCCTCCTGAGTAGCTGGAACTACAGGCATATGCCCCCATGTCCAGTGACTTTTTAAATTTTTTTGTAGCAATATGGTCTGGTCTTGCTATGTTGCCCAGATTGGTCTTGAACTCCTGGACTCAAGTGATTCTCCCGCCTCATCCTCCCAAAGTGCTGGGATCAAAGTGTGAGCAACCACACCTGGCCTAGGACTGGTTTTCATCATAAAGCTGAGCTCCATGTAAGGAAACAGATACAAGCATGTGGGCCTCTAGGAATGTGCTCGGACAGGCACAGCGGGAACGTGGGCCCTCATGTCCTTTTCCCCTCCACTGTTGGGAGCCAGCCACAGAGGACCACCTGAATGTTAGGGATCAAGGTAGGCCGTGGACCCTGAGACCACTAAGGATGCATTCGGGAGCTGTTGAACCCATTCCCTCCTCACTTTTTCATTTTAGCCAAAAAGATCTCTGCCTACCTAAGCTGAAGACTCTGTGACTGTGGCAGGCATGGCTCACTCTAGAAACTCATTGTTCCTGTTTTCCATGAACTGCGGTTTTGGTTTAGATATTAGATATAATTTAAACTCAGGTCACATTTGGGAGCCTTTAATACAGTACAAGCTTCTTTATAAGATTTAAAAGTATATTTGTAGAATTAGTATATACTTATGGAGAGCTGTTTTCAGCTTTAGATGGTATAGATGATTATCTAGAGTTACCAGAAATGGCCCAGCATGAACTTTGGGCTGGGCCACATTCCTGAGGGCCCAGAGCGTACTTTGGACTGGGCTGCATTCTTTTAGACCGGTTTTAGCTACATTTAGTGTAGGGTTTCTCTACTTATTATAGAAATTGAATTTATTTTATTCATGGAAAGTATTGTAGAATAGGTCATGCTAATGTCAGGGAATCATGTTAGTTCAAGCATGATCAATCATGATATTTTGAGGTTTAATAAGAATACAGCTAACTTTAGAAATTTCATTGTTCCCATTTTCTACTATTGTGGTTTTGGCCTTAGTACAATTTACAGTTTATATTTGGGTTTTGTTTTTAGAAGGTTTATTGCTGATGATCAGCTTTATATATTAGAATTAGGAATCAGAAACTTTTATAGAAGTTAAAATAGATATATAGGATTTTAGAACAGCCATTTTGTTAAGAGATCGTAATCAATTGTTCCTAGAAACGGCCCACCGTGATCTTTTGAGTGGCCCACATTCTTTAGGAACTGGGTTTAAGCTATAATTAAGAGCTTCCATAGCAATTGTGTAAGTAGAATTAGCATAGAATAGAAAGGTAATAAGATTTAAGTTAGTCATCATGGGTGCTGTGTACGCATGAGCTTTAGAAGTTATTGATTATTAGAACATCATGATGCTAGTAGGGATTGTTGCATTGCTTTTGAGGAACATTAACTAGCATAGGGAACAATAAGACAATTTTGGGCTTTGTTCTTCATCATACCTGAGAAAACATCTGGTGGGTGGGGGACGCCCCTCCTACACCTGGCTTTGTGTTCACGTGAAAGACTTGTGAGATTGTCTGTGTAAAATTTGGGGATAAATACCCTCTGTAACTTCCAATAAATGACTTCTGCACTAGATAGAGTCCAGTCTCTTTCTTTCTCCCTCCGTCTCTCTCTTTCTTTCTCTTTACTTCTCCAGAATAATCGCCGACACCGCCACACCTCCCAGGGACCCCCTAAATCTCTCTGCAGGGGCTGGCCCCTCACACCCCCCACCCTACCACCTGGAACACAGATGAGTGAGCTGGAGCTCCAGCTGCCATCCTAGCCCACAACGTGACTCTGAAGACTGAAGTCACAAGCCAGGATGGTGGGGCAGAGACAGAAGGGTGGTGGATAAGTCTTTGAGAACCCTGGGACCCCAATCTAGACCACAAGTATCTATCATCCAGACTCATCAGTTGGAAAAATTAATTTCTGGCTTGTTTAAGCCACTGTTATTTTGGGTTTTCTGTTACATGCAGTTAAACAAGTCCCAGATGAGTATGGTGGCTTATACCTGTAATCCCAGCACTTTGGGAGGCTGAGGCAGAAGGACTGCTTGAGATCAGGAGTTCAAAACTAGCCTGGGCAACATAGTAAGACCCCGTTTCTACAAAAAAATTAAAAGATGAGCCAGGCATGGTGGCACATACCTATAGTCCCAGCTACTAGGGAGGCTGAGGTGGGAGGATCGCCTGAGTCCAGGAGGTCAAGACTGTGGTGAACTGAGATTGTGCCACTGCACTCCAGCCTGGGTGACAGGGTGAGACCCCAACTCAAACAAACGAACCAATCAATGAACCCAACACAAACAATCCAACAAACCCCGAATGGCAAGACTGCTGAGAAATTTCTAACAGCTTTTTATCCACTGTTAATGATGATGGTTTCCACAACCAGATGCCCTAGGGCACCAGCCACACCCATAGCTCCAAGGGCCCTGACCATCCTTCCTAGTGTGTGTTCTTCCCTCCTATCTGCTATGATGGGACTGTGCCCTGTAAATGGGTCACAAGCTGGGAGGGTGACCTACCATGGTGCAATGTCCTATTTGATCACTTTGGGAGACCGAGGAGAGTGGACTGCCTGCATCCATAGGTTCAAGACCAGGCCAGGCAATTTGGTGAGACCTCATCTCTACAATAAATCAAAAATTAGCCAGGTGTGGTAGCGCATGCCTATAGCTCCAGCTACTTTGAAGGCTGAGGCGGAAGAATCACAGGCATTCAGCAGGTCAACGCTGGGGTAGCTGTGAGTGTGCCACTGCACTCCAGCCTGGGCGACAGAGTGAGACTCCAACTCAAAAAAAAACCCAAAAAGCAAAAAAAACCAAACATGAGGCAAATGAACTGCCCAAGACAGAAAGCCACGGCCTCCACAGCCCCAGTAAGGGAGGCCCTACGACGACCCCTTTCCCAACTCCTGAACTATACAAGAGCCCTTTGAGAACGACCTATGGGTTTAGAAAGACGTGGAGATGGCCTTTCCTTCATGTTAACACTAGACATGAAGTTCTGGCATTTGAGCTGGAATCTGTCCTTCCCTAACTTCTGGACCAAGCACAGGGGAAAATGCTAACATCTCTAAGAAGAATGCATGGGATTAAATAGGCCACAGAATGCTGTCTTTCTAACATAACCGATGATGTCTGTATGATTAAAATGGTGACAAAAAAATAGGAAGATGAGTGGCCCCTATCTGAGAATTAGAAATCTCATGTCTGAAGCCCTGTGGCTGATGTGTGGTCTGCCACCCACAGAACTTACCTGAACTCCGGTGGGTACTGTCTCACGAGCCAGGCCACGTCAAAGCAGTAGTTAAACTAGACAGAGAAAGAAGCATCGCTGAGCCACGCCATCCATAGGTGTCAGGGCTCTCTGCAGCAGTGGCAAACTGCATTACTCACACTGGCTGTGATGTTGCAGTCTGAGAAATGAGCCACGCTCTGCCTTGCACACAGGGTCCCCAGAACCCGCAGGAAGGGGGAGACAGGCTCAGGGTACTTGTGTTTGCCAACAGGGCTACAAGGTTAATCTAAAGAAAGGGGCTGGTACACTCATTCCCCTTCCCTGAGGCAACTATGCAAAGACAGACACTTGAGACCCTGGGCTTTCAGGGCAGCCTCTCCTTTTAGGCTGACTTGTAAACTGCTTGGACACAGCCATCTGGGTCTGGTCGGCCATAGCTCACAACAACGATGTCTTGGCAGCAAGTCCTGTGCTCGTCTCACTGAGGAGGCTCCTGGATCTAGCAACTGCTTCAAGCTAGGACAGCACTCACAGACATTCACTGGATCTAGCAACTGCTTCAAGCTAGGACAGCACTCACAGACATTTCCTCTTCTGTCTGAAGACCAGGACCCTCGAGGCCAAGTTACACATGAAGGGCCCAGGAAGAAATGCTTCTCTCAGGACATGGCCACTTTTATGACCATTTACTTGGGAGTCCGAAGCACTCATGTGATTTATCAACACAAAGGGACCTGCTCGTTGAGGAAGGAGCCATCGGAAACAGAATCCCGTATTTTATCAAGTCTAACTAGAGTTGCCCTCACTACTCCATCATACCCCCCAGGTGTTGCCAGGAGATGACCAGCATACTAAAAAGAAGATTTTGGGCCTGAACGTCCAGTGACTTCTTGGCCAGTCCATGTGGCTTCCCTGAATCAGATGCTCCCAACAGTGACATCCCTGAAGGCCACAGAGCCCAGGAATGTGTGCCTGGTACCAGCCTCCGGGCATGTGCCACCTTGGGGACCCTGCTGGGCACTGGACACAGGCCCACTGTTCGTATGGTCCCACAGAGTTAGTTAATCATGTGTCTACCTAAAGGCAAAACAACTGAACAGAAAACTCACCTGAGCTGAAGCGACAAGTGTCCCAAATAGAGGAGACAGGATATCTGAGAAGACAGCAAAAAATCACACTCAGATCCACAACCACAGACCAACCATCCAGGTCTGGTTTAGAAAACAGCAAGCTAAACATTTATGAAAAAGCTAGACTTCAGTATTTCATAAAACTCAAGAAAAAAATGTCCCTAAGTTACTTGATGATGTGTTATCTACAAGGTCTGACAATTAAGTTCATGAACTATCCTAGAAAAAGGGCTATCTACCTCACTGCTGAATATCACTAGGGTCACCTTTGAAATACTCCCCTTGGGAAGCTATGCACCAATGCCAGCACCTAGTCCATCTGTGAAAGAAGTTTTGGAACTTTTTTCTGTAATGACCACCAGAGCTGTCATTACAAGAGTGTCAGAGTTTGAATCAGAGCAACAAACAAAGATTAAATTTCTTGTTAAACTTGTCAAGAGTGGAAGTGAAATCAGGACATGTTAGTCCAAGTTTATGGGGATAATGCTATGTAGAAAACAGCAGTGTACAAATGGATTAAATGTTTTTCTCAGGGGGGAGAAAGTGTTGCCAATGAAGAGAGGTCAGGACAGCCAGTAACGAGCAGAGCTGATGAAAATACTGCAAAAATTTGTCGAATAGTACATCAAAATTGTTGGCTGACTGTGAGAAGCATAGTAGACTAATAAACATCAATAGAGAACCAGTTAGGAAAATCTTCACTGAAAACCTTGGTATGAGAAAGGTGTGTGCAAAAATGGTCCCAAAGGAGCTCTTGCATCACAACAACATATCAACTCACACAGTACTATCTGTGAGGGAGCTCTGAGACAGTAGACAAGTAACTGTACTGGAACAATATCCTCCCATCTCACCTGATCTGACCCGAGTGACTTTTTTTCTTTACCCGAAGATAAAGGAAATACTGAAAGGAAGATATTTTGAAGGCGTTCAGGACATCAAGGGTAATATGACAACAGCTCTAATGGCCACTGCAGAAACAGAGTTCCAGAACTGCTTTAACGAGTAGACTAGGTGCTGGTGTTGGTACATAGCTTTCTAAGGGGAGTGCTTCAAAGGTGACCATGATGATAATTCAGCAGTGAGGGGTGTAGCATTTTTTCTAGGATGAGTTGGCAAACTTAATTGACAGACCTAGTATTCTTTTTCAAGATACAATGCAAAGCTAAAACTCACAACTTCTGCACTGGGGGATGGGTCACCTTTAGAAACTCAACATGGACCATGATGCATACGCTTTCTAGAGTTTTGAATCTCCACCTCCCCCAAGTATTCACTCCAGGAAAACCCCCTCTGGGCCCCTGGAATCTGAGCATGCAAGGCAGAGGCCCCACAATGCCAACCTCATGTTCCCGGTGCTGCTGGGCACCTCCAGGGAGGTCCCACTTTGCACCCATGCAAATCAGATGCAATAGCCTAGAGTGTGCACATCTAAGCCACCCACAAGACGAGGGCATGGCCATCACACCCTCCATCAAGACAGTGCACATGCAGGGACTGCTACAGTCAGGCTCTGTGCCTGGCACACCCCATGTACCACTGTGCTCCTCAGGGCTGCCTTCTGAGGTGCAGTCTGTTATTCTTGTTCTGTAGATGAGGGGGGAGTCCCCTTGGGAAGGAGCCCATACCCCACAGCTAGAAAGGGGCACAGTAGGGCTGAACACAGCTGCCTGACTCCAGTCCCTCTGCCTTGACCCACTGAACTGCCTCTGAGGATTCGAAGTGGGTGGTTCCTTTGCTTGAAGACCCTACTGTGTGACCCTGCCTGCTGGATGATGAGCTGGACATGGGGCACAGAGATTTCCAGGGAATAAAAAAAATCATCTCAGGGAGGTTCTGAACATGTCAGGGAAGACCTTCCTCCATATAGCCCTCCAGCCTGCCGTTTCACCTTTCCAAGTTCCACATCTTTCAAGGGCCACTTGCAGTGAGTTCTTCTACCCCTTACATCACAGTACATGGTAGAGTGCTAGAGCAAACAGCATTGGCTCTGATACTACACCTGGACTCAAACCCTGGCTACCCCAATGGCCAGCCCTGCGGCCCTGGGCACTTTTCTAAACCACGGACCTGTCACCCATCCAAGGACAACCGTGACATCTACTCCCAAGACTGTTCTGAGGACTAAAGGAGAGAGTCTACATAAGAGCTCCTACCATGATGTGACCTCAGGATTTTAGCACCGAGAGTCGGTTTTGATCATGTTGTCATCTACAGCAAAGCTCTGCCTAGTTCTCTAATGATTTCCTTCACCAGTCTCCCTCAAACAAAACTGACAACCGTCAGATATTTCTGTACCTAGATAAGATTCTCAAAAAGGAGACCTGTAGACTTGAACCTTCTATATTCAACATTTATCACATTTATACATCACACAAAAGTATGGTATGTGAAAACATGGTTGACAGTGACCATAATCTATTGTCGAATATGGGCAGAATGAAAGGTCATCTGAAGGAGGGCCATGGCACTGACCGTGAGCCCTGCCATGAGCCCACACTGTGCTGGTCTCTTTGAGTATTTGTTCTTATTTCCTGAACCCCCAGATTAAGGACAAGTAAGTGAAACACAGAGGACGTCAGGTTCCATGTTAACCATCCACACAGCAAAGGCGTGGTGGGGCCAGCAGCCTGCCCGACTCCAAGGCCCTGTTGTTCTCTGCTTGTCCCCTGTAGGTGCTTCCTGGGGGACAAGGAGAGCAGCCATTCGACACAGATCTGAAACACCAGGCGCTCTTTTTGCTTCTTCACCAGGAACCCAACCATGCTTTCAAGCGGGGGTTCTCTTACCTGCCTTGGCATCAGAATCCCCAAGGAGCATGTTAAAACACAGATTGCAGCCACCCTCCTCCCCAGTTTGGTTCAATGAATAAGGGGTGGAGCCTGAGAATCTGCATTTGACCAGTTCTAGGCGATGCTGGAGGTCCAGGGACCAAGAGAACTGCTTTGCTAATAAAGTGTCACTGACCAGACTCATGTTTAATTCAAAAGGCAAACACTTCTAAACACACTGAGCTGACAAGCGCTTTAACTACAGGTTTGGAAAATACCCTCTGGTCGCTTGAGCTGAGTAAACAGTTTGCTGTCAAGCAAATGCACTTGCTTGTCAAGTTTTTTTTTTTCTGAGTAGACAAGACCAAAAGAAAGGGTTCTTGGAGACCATTCTAGGCTGTGCCTCTGCCTTGCCAAGGGACATCCAGGCACGAGCCATCGCCCTGGGACCGCCAGACCCTCTTACCTTTGATGTGGAGGGCACCCGAGTTGTACTTGGGCTGAATTCCTGAGACCCGGGTGAGGTAAAACTGGAAGGGGTTCCCTTTATCCAACATGTCCCAGATGTCCTGGCCTTCCCTTGATGTCTCATATTTGTCTCCGTCCTCCTCTCTGGGCCTGTGGTCCATAGCAGCGCCATGACTTCCCGTACTCTGAGCAGCACTGTCTCTGGGAGCAGAGGGCTTTTCCTCCTGCTTTTCCCCTTGTTTCCTGGACTGCTCCCATGGTGTCTCCGGCTGCAGCTCCTCATCACTGCTGGAGAGACACCAGCCCAGGTCTTCCTGGGAGCTATCCTTCTGCTTCTTGGGAGGTGACACCGAATCTGGGCTGAACTTCACGGGGGACGTCTTCCTCCTGTGTGCGGCCTTCCGGGCCTCTGAGCAGGTGAACCTGGGCTCTTTTATGGCTCCTTGTGGGGCATGGGGGAGGGAGGAGGTAGATGGTCTGTCCAGTTTTGGCTTTTCATCCTCACTGTCATCACTGCTGGATATCGTCCACCTTCCGTAATCACCTTCCTGAGACATGATACTTCTGGAAATGACAGACAGAATATCATTTCCCATTCACCAGGCAACTGGCAGAATGACATCACTGCCCAACGTCCCTGTGAGATAGCGTCTGTGACACGTACAACACTGCTGACCCCTAGGAGAGGCTGGGCACCCACCTGATGTCACTGCCTGACGTCCCTGTGGGATGATCTTTGTGACACGTACATTTGCTGATGCCTGGCAGAGGCCAGGCACCCAACCTGACATCACTGCCTGACATGCCTCTGTGATGACTCTGACACATATAACACTGCTGACACCTGGCAGAGGTCAGGCACCACCTGATGTCACTGCCTGACATCCCTGTGGGATGACCTCTGTGACACGTACAGCACTGCTGATTCCTGGCAGAGGCTGGTCACCTACCTGATGTCACTGCTCTCAAAGTGTGTGTGGAATGGCCTCTGTGTACAGCATGCCAACACCTGGCAGAAGCAGGGCACCCATCTGACATCACTGTCTGATGTCCCTGTGGGATAGACTCTGTGACATGTACAACACGCTGGTACCTGGCAGAGGCCAAGTGCCTATCTGACGTCACTGCTCTGTAGGGTACCACAGGTATATCCCTGAATCTGCTATGGGACCCTGACACATCAACAGCAAAAGTCATGGTCAGCTTTCTCCTCCTCTACCTTGGTCCTAGATGCCTGAGGGAAGGGGTTGATGCCAAACTCCAAAATAAGACAAAAATGCTCATTCTTGATCCTGAAGCTTCAAACAAGTGGAGTTAAGGTCAACTGAAGGAATTTCAGAGTGATTCTGACTCTTCAAATGCTTCAGGTCAAATGGGAACTTACAGATCTATCCTTCACCAAGTGTAGGCACCCACAGGATTTGGGGGATACGTCTCACTTCTTGAGAGAGGCTTGCCCATGAAGTCCTGAGAGGAATGCCCAGGATCACCTGTGTATACACAGCACCTGCGGGTACTTCCACAAGGAGCCAACTGATGTGAACGATGAGTCTCTCCCTGGCCACATCATAAATCAAACGACTAAAACCTGCAGAGAAGCACCGGTACTGACACAGAACAGTGTTTTCTTCTACACTAGCCTCATTTCCACTTTCTTGCTTGGAGGAAAGTGCAGAAAACAGCCTTTCTGGCTTTACCTGCACTATCTCGTCACGGGCAGCACATACTCCATCTATCTTAGCAATTCTGGAACTCTTCTTCTGGAATGGCCATCAGAGCCATTGTCATATTAACTTAATGTCCTGAGTGTCATCAAAATTTCTTCCTTTCAATATTTTCTTTATCTTCTGTAAAGAAAAAAGTCATTGGGGGCCAGATCAGGTGAGTAGGGTGTTCTAATAATTTGTACAGTGCTGCCAATGTAAGCACACAGTGGCAAGTTAGCAAACTTGTCAGACCTCAACAAATGGCGATGACAGCTTGATACGGAGACCCACTATTGTCTGTCCATATTGCCACAGCCCCTAAAGAAGAGCATGGTGAGGGAAGGAGTGGGCCTGCATATACCCAGAGTCCCCGGGAGCTAACAAAGGTGTGCTTCCCCTTATCTCCTATGCACTCCCAGTAAGCAACTTCAAACAATCCTTAACTTTTCTGCAGACTATGTCAATTAACTGAGATCTAAGTCCCCATTTACTCCCTTTTCTTAGTAGTCACAAGTTTGACTAATATAGTATCAAGGTAATCGGTAAAGTCTTATGATTTGTATAACTTGTATATCAATGTAATGTCTTGTGACTCATATAAATTTTACATATCATAACATGTAACAGTGTATGATGTCTTAGGCCATTAACTCTCTTTACTCTATGGTAAGCTTGATTAACGCTTCTGCCGGGTGTTACTGATAAAAAGCTGTGAGATATCTCTGGTAACTGGTGCCAGAAAATGTGGACCATAAGTGTCATTATTGACAAAAATGTGGCTGTGATTCAAGCTCTATACAATGCTCCGCTAGTCATGTAGTCAGTGTATAGGTATCAACAACCCTGAACTTAAAAAAGCAGACTGAAAAACTTGAAGGGTGAGCAGAACCATTTTAAAAGGGCCAGAAGCTCAGCTCTGCTCCCTGGATTCAAATTCATAAATACATCTCTCTACCAGCCCTGTCCCTTGATTTATTAGTCACAAGGGAGAACAGCCAAGGGTTGCTCGGACTATAACAAGTTCTGATAACCATTCCAGAGTCTCACGGTTTCTTTGATGAGTGGACTAGGTGCTGGTGTTGGTATGCAGCTTCCCACGAGGAGGACTTCAAAGGTGACTGTGGTGATATTCAGCTATGAGGTATGTGGCACTTTTTCTAGGACAGTTCGCAAACCTAATTATTGGAACTCATACACTGAAGGAGGGAAGGAACCAGTACCTATGCCTTCTGGAGTTTGTCCTCTGTGTGTAGGGTGGAAGGGGGGACACTTAGAAATATTTATGAGGGGAGTCACCGCCTGTATACTGGGGAAACATACATGTGACACAGTTCATGCTGACTTTGGAGTGGGGTTTTAGCATTAAAAGGAGGTGGAATTGGCCTTTTATGTCAAAAAGTGAAACAAAGGACACAAGGACCATTTATGCACAGCCTTTAAAACTGAGTGGAACTGACTTAAGGTCTGCAGCTGTTTCTCAATAAAGGATGTTTATAAGACTTCCGTCTTCTGGCCTTCTAACTGCAGCTACAGCAGGACACAAGATGGGCTGTTGCCGAGTGTCTGCCGATCCAGAAGTGTTCTAGTCATAGTTGAAGGTGTTTTTTAGGAGTTGGTTTCTGTTTAACTATAGGAAAGAAAGCTTAAGGCAAACACTGGGATTCATGACCAATCTCTCATCCTGCTAGTCACAGGATCTTGTTTTTGCCTTATTTTAGCCCCAGAGAGCCTACTTTGTGGGGGTATATTTTAACAATGTGATACTTTTAACATTCTAGTTCAGGACTCAGGAGCAAGTGACAAAACTGGAGTGTGTACACAGATGAATAAAAGCATGTTTAAGTTGTTGCTGTTTTCAAGAGGCTGACTGGGTGAGGCTAGGGAGCACAAACCCAAGGCAGACCATTGGTGCTCAGGACCCACCTCCAAAAGCAGGTCTGACTGACATCAGATTTGTAAGTGAATACACATGCAGATGTTTCCAGCTAAAATAAACTACTTCTGAGGTATCTGTCACTTTTCACAATGCCTCACTTACCTGACTTTCTCAATTAACTGCTCTCAAGTCACACAAGGCTTCCTCTGTAAATGACACGTCTAAAGGAGATTTCCTGCAGAGTGCATTAAGACAGCAATTTGGCCCACTCCTCATGGCTAGGGTCACTCATGCCCATCTGGCATGGATTCTATTTCACAGCCAGCCTCAGGGACTGCAGGGGGGTGGGACCACTTGCTCCTGTAATAGAGACTCGACTGTCTAGGTTTTTACAGTGCTCATGTCTACATTCTAGCAGTTTTCTCCTCTGTCCAGTCCACTTCTAGGGATTGTTGGAACTTGTAGGGTAGATATTTTCCCTAAATTGCTTCTAACCTGCTAAGGTTTAGGAAACCAGGTAACTTGCCAGTTGTGGCAGCTCACACCTGTAAGCTTAGTACTTTGGAAGGCCAGGAAGGAGGATCACTTGAGGTCAGGAGTTCAAGACCAGCTTGAGCAATACAGAGAGATTCTGTCTCTACAGAAAAAAAAATTTTTTAAGTTAGCTGGATGTGGTGTCTCGCCTGTAGTTCCAGATTCTTGAGAGGATGAGGCTAGAGGATCATGGATTGCTTGGACCCAGGAGATTGAGCTGCAATGAGCTGATTGTACCACCGCACTGCAACCTGGGCAACAGAGCAAGAAGACTGTCTATATTTAAAACAAAACAAAAAAAGAGAAAGAAATGAAACTAGATAACCAGCTTGTTAGAATTGTATTGTTATAGTAAAATGAGAGATTCAGAGTGATTTACTACTTAACACTTACTTGAACAGCTCAGACGTCTTCTTAAAAATTTATTTTTATCCTTTTGGGTTTTTTTTTTTAACAAAAACAACTTAGTCTGTAGGCTGCTGAATAGAGGTATTTAAGCTGTCATAATTCACTTTAAAGGAACTATTTTAGTGGCTACGGTTTTGTGACTTTAAAGTTATTTAAGAACAAAAGAACCACCTTAGGAAAAACAACTCTGAATGTCAGCTCCCACTTCCTCTGAATTCTAAAATAGCTCTACAGCAAGGCCATACAGAATCTTCTACAGCAATCCTCAGGCTGTTCTCTCTAGGTTCCATTCTAAAGCAAATAGTGGTCTTCAGAAAGGGTTCAGCTTCCAGCCTGAGAAAAGAAGCCATTTACAGACTCTTAGAAGGCAATTACCATCTCTTCTAAGGTGAATAACAATTGCATAGCTTGGATTATATATACATAAAATGGAATTCCAAAACCCTGAGAATTCAGTAGGTAAAATCTTAGGTAGCTCTGTGAACTATTTAAAGAATTTCTGAAGTTTTTAGTGTTCTTACTATCTACATTTTCTTAAACCACATGGGTGAGGGATTCCCTCCAACAAAGTAGGACAAAAATGGGTAGAAAATGAAATAAAGCCTTGAAAAGGACACTTCCTAGAGAACAAAGTCACCTTTTTGGTCTGTCTCCATATGCAATTTAAAATAGGCCTGCAGACACTGAAAGATGGTGGCGCGCAGTGAGACTCAACGGTGAGCACAGTGGCTACAGAATCTGAGAATCAGATTGCAGCAAGGAGGCAGGGGTGTGGCAAGTTTTATAGAAATTTAAAGCGACCTGTCGATTACCTATTGGTCAACAGGTGAAGTATTTTTGGGATTGGCAGGGGCTTTCGCGGGCGCAGGAACGGTGGGCTTTGTTGTGGAAGAAGAACCGGGAAGGCCTTGTCCGAGCCTCTATGTTAGTTTGTCCGGGCGCCTTCTTAGGCGGGAGCGCCATTTTAGGTGGGGGCCACGCCTAGGCTTAGCCTTTGGAGGGGGCGGGTTCCTCGTGGCTGGCTGGGGCCTTTCAGACACTCAAAAATAGGCCTGAAAGTTATCAGTTAAAGGCACATAACCCAATACATTTTATGGGATATACACTGTCTCTCACCGTTATGTCTAGCAGGTTGCCAGTCTCTGTAACATCAAGGCCCAAAGCCTGCTGAAGAGGTTGGCGGTTAAGACCAGGTCAACAGAAGTTTACTCTGCAGAGCTGGCTCTGGTCCCCAGGATCAGAATCTCACCCTCACGCAGGCCCAGGTTCCCTGCACTCAGAACACTTTAAATCAAGTCGCCATTTTAAAAAATGGGACCGAGAATTTCCATGTCAGCTTTTGAGACACGGTTTCAGGCCCTTTTCTCTCTCAGCCCACATTTTAAAGGTTTATTTTTCTTTCTAATCGAATTGGGTACCTGCTTGAGAAGTTCCAGGGGCTGAGAGACCCCACGGCAGAAATCTGGAGACCCCCACGGCAGAAGTCTCCATTGCTCACAGTCAGGACCAGTCAGCCAGCCCTCCGGAGGACAAAGATTCCAAATGACCATATGGGAGCAGATCTGCTCCCTGTGCTCCTCCCAAATGCTCATCATTTTACGCCTCCCCTTCAAGTCCCCTGTCCTCAGCCTAAAACTCTAAAGTGCTTTCTCTGAGGCACAAGCGTGGCCGTTTCCTCATCTGCCGGCTTTTGGAATAGTCCCTTTCCTCAGGATAAAGTCCCCTTCTTTGGAATAAAGTCTCCTTTCTTGGACTGCACCTTGCGCTTGTTTGTTTCGGCCTGCAAGTGACAAGCAACAGAACTTGCAATCAGCAAGCCCAAGTCTAATTACACTTTTTGTCAGTGGTGCCTAAAGAATGAGAGAACAGATCACAGGGGGGCTGATTCACAGTCCTGCCTTCCTTCAGGATAGTGCTTCCCAAAGTGGAGGTGACTGGGACCTGATATTAACCAGTATTGCATTATTAAAGCACCTCCCTTTCCCATTCCAAACCAGCTGTCCACTTCAGTGAAGGAGAAAGGTGCTGCACATAACAATGCTTTTATCTTGCTTTTCAACAGGTCTAGGCTCTTCCATAGGCACCAAGGCTTTTGTTACCATTTACGGAAGGCAGCTGACAGCTCCATTCTATTTAAATAGTAAAATAAAGCTTTCTTTTAAAAAAGATTCTATATAAAAGTGAGAAGACTCAAATAAAACTATTAAGCAAATAACAGCATATGTGTTAAGAGAATAATACATCGGGGAGGTGGCAAGGAATCTGGCAAACACTGCACGAGAGAGTGAAAACCTAGGCCTCCCAAATGCCAGAGCTCTGGGCATTCACTGTCAGAGTTCTCGTTAAGGACTTCAAAGAAAGCTGTGGATGTGGAAGGGTACTCCATCTGGGGCTGCTGATGCTCCCTCTCCCCCACTATGCCAGATCAGATCGAGGTTTCTTCTCCTAGAGTTTAAAGACCACTGGGGGCCTGGACTCCTGTTGAGGCCCTGTGGCGGGCAAACACAGGCCTCAGTGTCAAACCCAGTTGTGATAAGGAGGTAAATGTGCACTGGGACAGCTTAGTTAACTGCCAAGCCCCAGTCCCACCTTCTGTTAAATGAGTACCATGCTCCCCTCTCAGACTATATTCACTCAATAACTTACTGAGCAGCTACTATGTCCCAGGCACTGGGAATGAGTCAATAACACACAGCTTCTGCCCCAGCAGAACTCAAGGTCAAGATGGAGGGACAGACCCACATGTAATAAACTAAAAAGCCAAGATGACCAGACATTCATTACAGCTTACAGCATGAGACGGAGAAGCAGACATGCCTTTGCTTTGGAATATTTTCTGAAGAAGTAACACTTAGGTGAGACTCAGAGGATGGAAAGGAATCAGCCAGGTAAATGATGGGGTGATATGCATTCCAGGCTGAAGGACCCCAACCTACAAAGGCCAGGAGGTGGAAACTGGGTCATAGAAGGGCTTAAGCCTGCAGGCAGTGGTCCTGGATAAAGGGGATGGGCAGACGCAGCAAAGCTCAAAGAGCTGGACTTTACTCTAATTTTACTCTAAGAACAATGGGACACTACAGAAGGCTTTAAGAAGCAGAGTCCGATTTCGTTTACTTCTCATTTTTTCTAGGCGAAGTCTGACTCTGTCGCCGAAGCTGGAGTGCAGTGGCAGGATTAGGGCAGCCTCCACCCGCTGGGCTCAGGCGATCCTTCCGCTTCAGCCTCCGGATTAGCTGGGACTACTGGTGCGCACCACCACGGCTCGGCTAATTTTTAACATTTTATTGTAGAGATACGTCTCGCAATGTTGCCCATACTGGTCTCCAACCCCTGGGCTCAGGTAATCCTCTCGCCTCGGCCTCCCAAAGTGCTGGGATTACAGGTGTGGGCCACCGCGCCCGGCCCCCGATTTAGCTTTTAAATATTACGTTCGCTACTAGTGGGCGCGTAAAATGGTTTGAGGAGACAAAAGTCAAGAGGAGGCTCCTGCAGGGCTGGGGGCGATGGGCTCGGAGGGCAATGCCGATTCCGGGTAAACCGAGGACGCGGCAACAGCTGCTAACTGCTCCGCGCTCCCCCGGGCCCAGGCGGGGGTCCGAGCGACTTCCGTGGTAGACCCTTCTTGCCCCGGAATGCTCTGTCTTGGGGACCCCGGGCGCCCGTCAGTGGGGACGCCGCGCACGGGATCCCCCCCCCAGTACCAGCACGTGGCGGGTGCCCAACACGCGGGGCTTTGCCCGCCCCTGCCGAACCCGCCCGCGCGTGGAGAGGCGGAGTCAGCACCGCGCGGGCGGCCCCTCGTCCCTCCCACACCCCTCCCTGGCAGGTCTCCGTTGCGTCCTCCGCTGGTGCCACTCCTGGAGGACGCCAGGTCCCTGGGCGAGGGTACCCTGTGCGGCGAGTCTCGGCGGCGCCACCTCCAGCCCTGCCAGATGTCCAGAAGCCCGCGCACCGCGACCAGGCCACGGGCTGCCTGGCTCGCGCTAGACCGCCGCGGACGCGGACACCTACCTGGGGCACGAAACTGCCGCCGCCTCCGACCCGCCCTCGGCGCCAACGCGCATGCGCGCTGTTCAAACCCCGGACGCGCGCCCCGGGTCCCGCCCCTTCCCCTTCCGGGAAGCCCGCCCCTGGGTTCTGAAGACCGCGGGTGGCAGAGGGCTTGCGGGTGCTTGCTCCGTAGGGGCGGAGGGCCGGAGGGGCAGAGGGGCAGAGGGGCGACTGCTTAGGGTCACCTCCTGGAGACTTCTTAAAACGAGAGCCGGGCCGGGCACAGTGGCTCACCCCTGTCATCCCAGCACTTTGTGAGGCGGAGGCGAGAGAATGGACTGAGCCCAGGGATTCGAGACCAGCCTGGGCAACTTGGAGAGCCCTCGTCTCTACAATTAAAAACAATCAAACAAACAAAACAAAACAGTGGGAAATAGGTGTTTTCTAGCTTCTCTCTTGGTGAATTAGCAAGACTCATGCTCTTTACGGGGAATCTCCGAGATGGCTTGAGGCAGCCGTGCTTGTTTGAAATGGAGCGAGGATGGGCTGAGGTTAAAGGACTGAGGTCTGTGTCCTGCGGGCAGCGGGCTCGCCCGGGGCGCAGACTTTAACACCTGCTGTGAAAAAGTTAAACAAGGCCCCATCAGACTCAGAACCTCGGATGTCTGTTTCTTCTTTGAAACAGTTGTGTTCTTTTCAATGTCACTGATTTGATTGACCCATTTGCAAAATGGAACTCTCTCCATGTTCCTCACCTTAACTAAGAATGTTTGCTAGGGAATTTGGGCTCAAAGCTGTTTTTACGCTGTTTATTCTTGGATTTTCTTTCAGATCAGCCATCTTTCCCAGTAGACTGAATGAAATAAATCTGTGTAAGCGCCTGAGAGCTCATTTCTTTCGTTTATTGAAGGTCTGCGGTGTGCCAGGCACAGTGCGAGGTGCGGGGCGTCCAAAGGACGAAACTGACGTAGTAGATAGCCTGGGACTCCGACCCCGATGACTTGCTGATGTGAACCTGAGTCCTGGACTTGGCTCGTCTCGTTGCGTCCTTTTTATGCTTTGCTCGCACTCTCTTTGTGTTTTCAGTAATGTTTAGCATAGTGCCATAGATCAAAATGATAAAGACTAATTAATGCGAGATGGGAGGACAGTGAAATAAATGATAAGCCGGGACACATGGAACCAGGATCCCGACGCCGACCAACCAGAGGAAGGAGCCGAGTGCTGGGGGCGGGTCTGGGAGTCGCCCCGCCCTAGGCAGGAAACCTTACTCAACAAAGGCTTTGGCCAATAGCATTGCGGGCTTAACAAGAGTAGCTCGCAGGTTGTCCAATGGGAGGAGACGTTGGTGTTGCGCGGCGAAGTTCGTCGCCTCGAAACGCGGCGGGCGTGGCCGCTGCTGGCTACAAGCAGGCTCCGGCGGTGGAGGTCACGGCTTCTGTGGCTCCGGCTCGGTTGGGGCGGTCGTGATGTTTCTCTCTGGGGCCAGGCCGCGGATGTGGGAAGCCAGCCCCTCAGAACACAAGAAGTGGGTGGAAGTAGGTGTCCCTTGGCTCGGGGCTGTCACTCAGCCCGGGTGTGCAGACAAGACCTGGGCCTCCCTCCCGAGGGTCACGGCCAGTGATAGCCAAGAGCTGCAGCTGCCGGGTTCCGGTACCGGGACCGCACTCCCAGTTCTTCTTTCCCCCACGTGGTCTGTGAATGGTAACCTCGGATCTGCGTCTCCTCCCTCCTTGCAAAGCCCGGCTCCTTTGCTTCCCCTTCCTTCTTCCAGCTCTGAAGTTTGGGTAGAATTCATTCCGGTGGCTTAAAGGAGTTAATTTGCATCAGCCTAGCGGTTAAGTGGTTTGCAAGTTTTTAAGGAAAATTTCAGTCTTTCTTTAAGATTTCTTGAGAATTAAAGTTGGGATAAAACTCCGTTTTATTTGAAAAACTATTATCATTACTTTTAGAGATAGGGTCTCGCTTTGTCGCCCAGACTGGAGTGCAGTATGTGTGATTGTAGGTCACTACAGCCTCAAACTCCTGGCCTCAAGTGACCCTCCGCCTGGGCCTCCCGATGGGCTGGGATTGGAAGCGTAAGCCACCAGGCCGGGTGGAAACTCCATTTTCAAGCTCCATTGCTGGGCTGAGTTTTAGATTTTCGAGGTCCAGATTTATTATAAACTAGCAATAAAAATAAGAGAAGAACCAGTTTCTGTCTTAACTAAGGATATTTAATGTTCTTTAGGTATTTAAAGCATGTGATGAAGATAACAAAGGCTACCTAAGCAGAGAGGATTTTAAAGTCGCTGTTGTCACGCTGTTTGGGTACAAGCCCTCCAAGGTAGGGTTTTCTTTATGTGTTTGGTGATGGGGTAGACAATCAGTAGTGGTGAGTGGGTCCTGAGAAAAGTGCTCAGAGCTAGCTTAGGATGTTTCTGAAACAAATAGCTGCTTTATGGGTAATTTTGGAGAAGTATTTGGAAAAGTATTTTGGAAAAGAATTTGACTTTCTTTTTGAGACCTCAACCCAGGGATGAATTAGAAATCTATCACTGGAGCCCACACAAGCATGTCTCACCATTGTGCTGCTGGTTTTTATAAAAAATATGAGATGCTAGAGAGGTGTCAGCTGGGAGGACTGGAAGGGGATGTTGGTAACAGGAGGAATTTACACAGGCGATGACATACCCATGTCTGTCTCTTGGCTTTGTTTAAATTTTTAATATAAAAGTAATACATTCACATAGTCAAAAAATCAAAAAGTGAAAAAGGTATAAAGTTGGACATGAAATCTCCTCCTCCCTACCAGAGGATCCCACTCTAAAGGGGTTACCATTATTAATAGTTTTTTGTGTATCGATCCAAAATATCCTATCTATGACAAATGTATATATGCATAGCCTTCTACTGAAACATAAGCAGACACTGGGTGCAGTGGCTCACATCTGGTATCCTAACACTTTGGGAGGCCAAGGCAGGAGGACTGCTTGAGCCCAGGATTTCGAGACCAGCCTGGGTAACATAGTAAGACCTCATCTCTACAAAAAATCAGAAAATGAACTGGGCACGGTGGCATGCACCTATAGTCCCTGTTACCTGGGAGACTGAGATGGAAGGATTTCCTGAGCCCAGGAGGTTGAGGCTGTGGTGAGCCGTGATCATGCCACTGCACCCCAACCTGGGCGACAGAGTGAGACCCCGACTCAAAAACATAAACAAAAAACAAGTGCACACTGTGCCTACTTTATATTACTTGCTTTTCTTAACAGTAGATCAACCTGAAAGCACACACCTCCACCTGTGAAGGAAACAGTCGTGTGGCGTTTCTTGTGTAGGGTTATTTAGGTTGTCTCCATTACTGCGCATTTCTGAGAGCATTGTTGCAACAAACATCCTTTTTATTTAAGTATATACCCACACATTTATTTATATCCCGTGGGTGTCTGTCTGTGGAATAACTTCCTAGAAGTGTAATTGCTAAATCACGGGATATGGACTTTTCATGAGATACTGGTTTCCAGAAAAGGTGGCACCAATAATGAGTTGAGCTGGGCTTCCTACTTTAGTTGGTCACTTCCTGTTCATTCCTGTCTTTGTGCTGTTCTGCTTACTTGTTACATTCAATATAGAGACGGTGACTTTCTTCTCCTTTTTTTTTTTTTTTTTTTTGAATCAGAGTCTCACTCTGTTGCCCAGGTCAGAGTGCAGTGGCACAATCACGGCTTACCACAGCCTCAACCTCCTGGATTCAGGTAGTCCTTCTACCTCAGCCTTCCAAGTAGCTGGGGCTACAGATGTACCACCATGCCCAACTAATTTTTAAAATTTTTTTGTAGAGACAGGCTGTCTCCTTGTTGCCCAGGCTGGTCTCAAACTCCTGGGCTCAGGCAGTCCTCCTGCCTCGGCCTTTCAAATACTGGGATTATAGGTGTGAGCCACCCTGTGCATTTGGTGTCCTTCTTCTTAAGATGCTGAACTGGAATTAGAGTCAAGATACTGTTCAGAATTAAAAAGTTCAACTGTGACTATCAAGCAAAGGGAACAGGGCTTGGCCTGGGATGCTGCCCCTCGCTCTCTCATTAGATCAAACGGCCATCAGTGGTGACCCAGCTGGCCCACATGCATGGCAGATTGCAAGCTCAGTAAAACCAGGGTCCATGATGTCACACTTCTCCGCCCTTTGGTAAACACATTTCGACTTCACAGTAACAATGTTCATTGATCCACAGGTTGTGTGAACAGCCCAGGTGGGTTTGTGTGTTGCTTAATTACTAAGAGGCTAATCACAGAGCCCAGAGTTGTAGTCAGGGCTGATTCCGAAGCTGCAATTCTGCTAACCCGCAGTTGTTTCAGCTGGAATCACAAAGCAGGTCAGCTAAGAAGATTCAGCCTCTGAAGCATCATTCTCAACCCAGTTCATCTGGAAAGATGTCTCATCTCATGTGCCTTTGTCATTCTGGAGGCTGTTTATTTGGCTTCCATTTTAGAAAGCGAGGATTTCGTGACAGCGACAGTGACGTAGGAAACTTCTGTACCTACACATTATGAAATTTAACAGATTTTTTACTTTTCACACTGGTTTGGGGTTTTGGATTTTATTTTTAAAGCAAATGAACTATTCACTGACTAGATCATTAAGTAGCAAAGTACTGATACAGCATGGAGTTTTATTTTTGTTTTTTTGAGTTGGAGTCTCACTCTGTCACCCAGGCTGGAGGGCAGAGGCATGCTCCCGGCCAGTGCAGCCTCAATCTGCAGGGCTTAGGCAATCCTTCTGCCTCAGCCTTCCAAGTAGCTGGAACTATAGGCAATAATTTTTGAATATTGGTTTTGAGCAGATGAAATAGTTACTGAGTGTAGATCATGAAGCAGTAAAGTACTTCTTATTGTTATTATTATTTTGAGTTGGAATCTCACTCTGTTGCCCAGGCTAGAGTGCAGTGGCATGATCACAGCTCACCACAGCCTTGACCTTCTGAGTTCAAGTGATTCTTCCGTCACAGCCTACTGAGTAGCTGGGATTAGAGGTACATGCCACAACACCTGACGATTTTTTTCATTTTTTGTAGAGCTAAGGTCTTCCGTGAGGTCTCGAATTCCTGGGCTCAAGCAATCCTCTAGCTTCAGCCTCCCAAGTGCTGGGATTACAGACATGAGCCATCACACCTTGCCATACTTATATGATAACTAACATACACTTATGCAGTTACTTACGCAGTGCAATTTATCATATTCCTATTTAGTAAAAGAATGCTTGGGAGTTGCTAGTGATGAAAGGAATGAAACACGGTCTGTACTTCAAAGCAGTCCGTAGTTAGTGTAGAGAGGCTTTAGAAACTCTGATAAATACCAAGAGAGAAAAGAGATCGGAGAACAGAAAGTGAGGGGGACAAAGAGAGAGGGCCTAATTCCAGTGGTAACTGTCATAGGAATCTATTTGTCATTTAGACTAGTGAAGCCAGACCACGCTGATAAGCAGTGTCTAGGCACACTTGTGGGTAGTGGGACAAGCTATGCTCTGGTGATTGACTGGATGTAGTAGTGGTAATGATGCTGGGTGGGATGCATGTGTTGCTCCGTAGGTTCTTTGACTTCACCACAGAAAAGAATTTCGGAGTGAGTCTAGAGTATAGTTTAAGAAAAACTTTATTAGAAATAAAAGGACATGCTCAAGGGAAGGCACAGGTCTCTTAAGAGAAGGGACATGTGCTTGCCTTTGACAAGAAGCTTTACCTCTTTTGCCATGATGATTAAGCAGACCATGAGCTAAGAGGGTAGGCTGCAGGTATCTATCTGGTCATGAATTTTGATGACCATCTCTCTACCTTTAAGGTCACAAGGACCTTCTAAGTAGTGAAAGTTACTGTCTAACTAGATTTGGGCTTTTCTTAGAACATCATGTCTATGTTTTGGGTATTTTGCTACTGTTTCTGTGATTTATTGCATTGGTAGTTCCACATTCCAACCTGCAAGGTCTCATATGCCGTGTACGGATAAAAAGGATGTCTGAGTGCTTACCCTGTTTTAAATTAGACCTGCCTGAGAAAACCTGCCTAACTGCTTCTAAATTATGTTATGTCTGCCTCAGTAAGAGTGGTGTGACCAACAGGACTGAAGGAAAAGTGATGCCACCAAATAAGAGAAAATTCAGAAGAAGTAGGTTCAGAGGAAGTCAGTGAGTTTGTATAGAGACACTTTGAGTTTGAGGTGGCTATGTGCATTACAGGTGCATTCACTTGGTAAATGTGGTATTGAAGTTATATTGGTGAAGATCTGCTCTCAGATGTTACTGCCTCTCTTAGATGGAGGGATCTGAAATGGGAGGAGAGGTGAGAAATGAGGGTGACTCCTTGGTTTCCATGAGGTAGCTCACAACATGAGACCGGATGTTATCACCCAAGAAGAGTACGTGGAGCAGGAAGAGCAGGAGTCTGAGAACAGAATATTAGAATGCTGGCATTTAGTGATAGGCAGGACCCCAAGAAGAAAATGTATTGGGAAGCATTTGGCAGGGACAGGAGGAACCAGAAAAAGCGCAGGGAATTCAAGCCTGTGAAGAGCTCAAGACTGAGGTTGGAGGATTTATGTCAGCTGCTGCCAAGGCTCTAATTCTATAATGTTTATAAAGATCTTGTAACAATACAGGAAAATGCTTGTGTTCTAATATGTAGCAAAAGCAGGTCCTCAAACTTTATATACAGTGTGTTCTCAAGTGTTTAAAAATACATAGGAAAAATAAAGGTAGATTAGTCCAAAAGGTTAGTTTTCATTGGATGGCTGGTCTTTAAATTTTATTCTTCAAAATTTTGTATATTTTTATATTTTCTACTTCAGTCACGTTACTTTTATAATTAGGAAATTAATAAAAAGTGAAGTCACAGATCTCATCATAATAATTGCTTGTATTTGTCTTAACTGTTAGATTATATCATATATGGGACAGCCAAATTGATTTTATGTGCTTAAACTGGGTTAGCCAATGGAATCAAGTTTTGGAGGCCATTAGAGTGTAGCAGATTAGTGTCATATTTCACAGATGTTGATAGAAAAGTAAAATGACCATTACAGCTGTTGTGTGCCACAACTTGCATATGGGTTCAATACAGTTGGTTTCTCATGAAATACAGTCTTTCTCCCACCCTAGGAATTGAGAAGTTGCACTGTGAAAACATTTGATAAAGTTACATGTCCCGTCATTCTTTCTTCTTTTCTAGATAGAAGTGGATTCTGTGATGTCGTCAATAAACCCGGACACTTCTGGTAATATGAAAGCTAATGCTAATTTTAGTACCTTATTTAGACATTAACAAGATGAAAACTAAGAATAAACATAGAGGCTATAAAGCATTATGTTAAGCAAATCTTTTTTTTCCTCATTGTTCGGAAGAAAGGTTTTGGGTCTTTTAATTTTGATTATTTATAAATATAATATGATTAATATAGAAAAGTTTTAAACCACTGAAGAGCATAGGGCAACCCCCTCAGGTCCCCTACCACTGTAGGAGCTTTTCTGTTTTCTTAATAAATCCTACTTTCAAAATAAAAAACATAAAGAAAAGTTGTCACTCCTAATTTCAACATCCAGAGAATGATTTTGGGTTTTCTGACTTGAGCAGCTGGACGGAACTGGCACCTACTGAAATGGGAAGATGAAGGGCAATATTTGGGGACAGAGGGGACCAAGAGTTTACTTTTGAATGTATGAAGTTAGAGAAGTCTTGATCTACTGTTTCAAAGTAATCTGACTGTATGAATATGAATTTTAGAGGAAAGCTCTGTGCTGAAGAAATAAATTTGGAAATCATCAGCATTATGATAGTTTTAAAATCCTGGGAAGGGCCAAGACCACCTAGAGAGATAGAGTGGATTGAGAACTCTGGGAATTCTAGTGGAATTCAGGTGGAAGGTGGTAAATGGCAAAGGAGACTTGGAAGTGGCAATGGGGTAGGAGGAACATCAAGAGTGTTTGATCAAAGACCAAGAGATGTGGATATTTTACCCAGGAGGGTGTGTTTAGCATTGCCCAATGCTCCTGAAAGGTCAGTAGCATAAGAACGGAAGAGTACCATGGGTGTTGGTGACTTAGAGGTGTTTGGTGATTTGAGCAAAAGGAGTTTCAATGTGTGGTGAGGGCAGAAGCTAGGGTAGTGTTGGGCTAAAGATCAATGGGGAAGTGATGAAGTGTGGCAATGTGAGAAGATAAGCCTTTCCATAGGGCCAGAGTGGCTGTGGATCAAGCAATGTTTTGTTTGCTTTTCTTCTTTAAGATGGAAGAACACATACATGTCTAAGCTTAGCAGAATGGCCTAGTGAAGAGGGGGCAAGAAGATGAGAGAGGAGGGAGGGAGACCTGTTGTATAAGGGGACCAGTTGCACCTGTTGTGCAACCCAGAGCATGTTGGATTGACTTTATAAAAATTACTTTTTTTTAGAAATACAGTAAGTCCCCTACATATGAACCTTTGAATTGTGAACTTTCAAAGATGCAAATATCTGTTTGCATGTCCAGTCATGTGCATTTGCATGTTCATGTGTCTGGCGAACGTGGTCACGTATGTGCATCCTCTACAAGTGGTTGTGCTTTGTTGTACTTTGCTGTATAGTATTGTATAGAGAAGAGTGTAAAGTATCTTTATTTCAAGCCCAGGATGTCTGGAAGCAAGCCTGAAAGCAGCAGCCATGTAGCTGGTACTGCATAGTCTGTTGTTATTGGGTGTCCAGGTTCATTTTGTTGGACTAATGAACAAATTAGACTTAATGTGCTTTCAGAATGGAACTCATCTGTATGTAGGGGACTTGCTGTAATTTAAAGCTGAAAAAAAGTTGCAAAATAAAAATAGTACAGAGAATAGCTTGTTCTCTGTATATACCTTTTACCCAGATTTTCTTACTATTACCATTTTATCTCATTTGACTTCTCATTTGTGCTTTCTATCCTCCCCCTTCTCTTTGTACATAACCACAATATGTCTGCCAACTTTATAAATACATATTTACTATATTTTATCTAATTTACTATCTATATTCCAATTTTGTCAGTTGACCTATAATATCCTTAATAGTCTCTTTCTTCTTTTAGTATAGGAATTAGTTCTAACTTTCTCTCATCAGGAATGTTTCTGTAGTCTTTTTTTTTTTTTTTTTTTGGTGCCTTTTTATCACACTGACATTTTTAAAGAATATAAGTCACCTGGGCTTGGTGGCTCAGCCTGTAATCCCGCGCTTTGGGAAGCTGAGGTGAGTGGATTGCCTGAGCCCGTGGGTTCGAGACCCGCCTGGGCAACTTGGCGAGACCTCATCTCATACAATAAATAAAAAACTAGCCAGGCATAGTAGCGCGCGCCTGTAGTTCCAGCTACTTGGAAGGCTGAGGCGGAAGAATCACCAGAGCCCAGCAGGTTGAGGCTGTGGTGGCCGGGAGCGGCCACTGCACTCCAGTCTGGGCGACAGATTGAGACTCCAACACACACACAGAAAGAATATAGGTCACCCCTCACTGTTTTGTTTTTATTTTTAAAGCGCATTCCTCATTTTTTTTCCTCAGTAGACACAGGGTCTCAGTGTATTGTCCAGGTTGGTCTTAAACTCATGGCCTCAAGTGATCTTCTCACCTTTGGCTCCCAAAGTACTGGGATTACAGGCATGAACCTCTGCTCCTGGCTGCATTCCTCATTTTGTGTTTTCTTGATGTTACTCTGTGATTTGGTTGAGGTTATGCCTTCCTGGCCAGAATAGGTGATATGTCTTTCTCAGAGTACCACATCTGTAGGTGCACAGTGTCCATCTGTCTCTCATAGGTAACATTAATTTTTATCATCAGTGAAGATGTTGTCCAATGTCTTTATTATTTATGTTTTTATTTTCTTCCCTTGAAACTAAAAAGTAGACTGTAGAGACATTTTTGAGATAATGCAAATGTTCTTCTCATCCAAATTTCCCCCAAATCGGATCTTCATCTATGATTCAAGTCTGATCTAATTTTTGCCGTAATGATTGCAAAATAATGATTTTCTAATCCCAGTACTTCCTCCCATCAGCCCTTGGCATTCTACTATAAGCAGAGACCTCCTTTCTCCCTTATTTATCTATTAGGTTGGTGCAAAAGTAATTGCGATTTCAGACCTTGAATTTTAAATCATTATAACTAGGCTCAAACACATCTATTATTCAATTAAGAACCATTACAATCAACACATTTTTGCCAAAGAGAAATAAGTTTATTTATTCTCGTAGCATAAAAATACATGCTTCAGCATTCAACGAACTCTTGGAAAGCATTTTCTGCATCCTGCATTTTCCCTGCAAAACGTCAAGATCTTGAAGAAGTGGTAGTCGGTTGGTGAGAGGTCAGGTGAATTTGGCATATGAGGCAAAACTTTGTAGCCCAATTCATTCAACTTTTGAAACATTGGTTGTGCCACATGCAGTCAGGCGTTGTCGTGGAGAATTGGGCACTTTCTGTTGACCAATGCTGGCTGCAGACATTGCAGTTTCGGTGCATCTCATCAATTTGCTGAGCATACTTCTCAGATGTAATGGTTTTGCCAGGATCCAGAAAGCTGTAGTGGATCAGACTGACAGCAGAGCACCAAACAGTGACCATGACCTTTTTTTTGGTGCAAATTTGACTTTGGGAAGTGCTTTGGAGCTTCTTCTCAGTCCAACCACTGAGCTGATCATTGCTGGTTGTCTTATAAAATCTTTTTGTCACACATCACAATCCAATTGAGAAACTGTTGTTGCATAGAATAAGAGAAGACAACACTTCAAAACAATGATTATTTTGATTTTGGTTGACTCACGAGGCACCCACTTATTGAGCCTTTTGCTTTTCACCTTTCCAATTTGCTTTAAATACCGAATGATCTTAGAATGGTTGACATTGAGTTCTTCAGCAACTTGTTGTGTAGTTGAAAGAAGATCAGCTTTGATGGTTGCTCTCAGTTGGTCATTGTCAACTTCTTATGACCAGCCACTCACTCCTCATCTTCAAGGCTCTTTTGTTGTCAAGTTTCCTTTGTAAAACTTCATTAGCAAAACTTCATTAGCATTACATTTGTTAACAGTTCCTGGGCCTAATGTGCTGATGTTGCAAGTTGTCTCTGCTGCTTTACAACCCATTTTGAACTTGAATAAGAAAATTCCTTGAATTTGCTTTTTGTCTAACATCATTTCCATAGTCTAAAATAAATAGCCAGTAGTAATTCATCAGTAAAAAAAAAAGTGAAAAATACTTTAAAATGATATATAACATAACCACTTTTATTTAAGAAGGTATTGATATCAAATGGCAAATTTCAACATTGCAAACACTGCAATTACTTTTGTGCCTAATATCTATTACCAGTAAGGACTAATTAGTTTTTATGTTAATGGTTTATAATTCATTACTGTACTTAATTATATTAGCACTTAAATTATCACAGGTTTGGCCAGTAAATGTCCCTTAAACTGACTCCCATGTCCTTTTGATTCATTTGACTCTTTTTTCTTTTAAAAAATCTTTTTATTTATAAATGTTAGATTTATAGAAGAGTTAAAAAGATGGTACAGAGTTTCTATCTAATCTTAATCCAGTTGTAGGAAAGACTGAGACATGGACAATATAAAAAAAATCCCAGTCAAACTTTTAGAGATGAAAACTACAATATCTGAGATGAAGAGTATGCTAGATAGGATTAACAGCTCATTAGACATTGTAGAATAAAAAAATTAGTAAGTCCCAAATCAAGTACCATAATAGAAACTGTTTAAAGTAAAACACAGAGAGAAAAAAGACTGAAAAAAGCAATCATCAGTGAGCTTCAGGACAGCTACAAGAAACCAAATATAAATATAATTGGAGTCCTCAGTGGAGAGGATAGAGGAGATAGGGACAAAAAATAGTTAAAGAAAAATGGCTGAAAATTTTTCAAATCTGATGAAAACTATAAACCTTCTGATTCACGAAGTTCTATGAAATCTAAGCATAAATTGAATGTGGTGGCTCAAGCCTGTAATCCTAGCACTTTGGGAGACCGAGGTGTGGAGACTGCCTGAGCCCATGGGTTTGAGAACAGACCAGGCAACTTGGTGAGACCTCATCTCTACAATAAAAATTTAAAAATTAGCTGGGCATGGTAGTGTGCATTTATAGTTCTGGTTACTTGGAAGACTGAGGCGGAAGGATCGCCTGAGCCCGGCAGGTTGACGCTGGGGTGGCCAAGAGCATGCCACTGCACTTCAGCCTGTGTAACAGAGTGAGACTCCAACTCAAAAAA